CAATTGCATGTGTTGTTGTTATTAAGCACAAGGCTACACATAGGGCTATCCATGCCTTACCCATCATTGGTATCGAAACGCGGTGCCATTGGGGGGCATGATAATTGCAATTTACATTAACTGGAAAAACAGTTGCAAGCCATCAGTAAAAAATTTATAAAGGGTTTGGAGAAAAGGATCTTCCCATATGTATTAGTAAGGAGGGAAAATCTGTTCAAATATTGTATAGCCTAATAAGATTGGTCTAACCAGACTGGTCTGATGAAAGTATTCTGTAGCTAGGTAATAATTAACATACACAAAAAAAATATAGTATAACAATACATGTATTTTAACGTATGTTATTAGTACAAATTAAACACTATTTATTACTTTTTTTTTTAAATCTGTGTTTATTACATAACTTGGCACATCTATATATCTATATAAGTATCACAAAATAAAACCAACTGCTTCTCATTCTGGCTTTGATACATATAATCATGAACTAATGGGATTTCTAATTTAGTTGTTAGAACTATTAATTAGAAATGATTATACTATCAAAGACAGTTTTGAGTTTTCTCAAGATATAGAAAAGTTTAATCTATATAGCTATTCAAGAACAATTTAACACAAGTGCCACATCTTACATGACACACAAGGCAACCAATAATAGATCTTCAAGCTTTTTAACAAAGAAGTTATTTTGTTAAAGAGTAATTTTTGACATGGATTTCCTAAGATAATACAATGTTAATGCTGAGATAGTCATTTGTGGGAAAAAACTTTCTTGGTGACAAAAAAAAACAATAAATATTTTGGTGAAAACTTTTGCCACAAATTTTAAAAAGATAATCTGAACATTATCTACTTGGTGAATCACTAAAGTTGAGATAAACATCGAGTCATTATTTTTTTAACTTAAGCAGCAGTCAATCTACTTTCATCTCATGTAAACCAAATGTTTCACTATCACTCATAATGATAATGTTTCTATTTACAATATATCATGATTTAA